TTACTTACAAACAAAATTTGTAATTCTAACACTAATTGAGTGTTTTTTTTTTAAATATATTTAATGCATAATTGAAAACATCTTGATTTCATTTATTTTGTATATCTTTGGCCAGCCAAAGAAGCTTCATAGAAATGAGATCAACTAGTTAGATTTACTCAACTATCACATGACTTTGGCAACCAAAGCAAGATATAAATAGCAATAAATACATAATTATCCTATGCTATGGGTTGATATTTGTGTATTAATAAGTTGATTAATTAAGTTTGTCACTTAGTTTATTTACTTCATTATGCAGCATAAAATGAACCTCTTATGGTAAAGATCAATGTGAATCCACATATTAGTAACCATTGTCACACACGAATTTGGATGCATAGGATATCCAAAATATATGCATTTGCTTTTGACAAGATCATACCCTTGCTTGAAAGTACGGTTCTACAGCTAATATTAGTAATCATTTTTTCATAAACTAAGATCTAATGTTGTTTTCTTAGACCCTGTTGTGATCCAAAAGTTATGAATTGATGTTGTGCTTTTACACCTTGGAAGATGTTGCTGGCCCATATTGTCTTTGCCAAAGTCTTTGCTATTGATAATAATAGCAAATTTCCATTCAATGACGTCTTATGGTATTATAGTTGCTTTGAGATTACGATACGTCTTCAAATTTCTCTTTCTGCCTGCCTAAATCACTCATGGGGCAAGTTTGGGAAGTTTGAATAATAGTAAAAAAGTTACTAAAAATAACATATTTTCAAAACAATCTATAATTGTTGGATAATACTTTAAGATTTTCATAGCTTGAAATTCTTACATGATCTAACAATTGTAAGTATTTTGCGATAAGGGGATAAAGTGATTTGGAAATAGATCTCTAGTTCTTGGTGAATTAAGATTGTGTTTGGATTATGGATTTGTAGAGGAATTTAGAAAGAAAAAAATGAAAAAGGAAAAAAGATAAACTATCAATAAGTCGTAATAGTTAAAATTAATTCCCATAAAATCCTATTTAAAAAAGCTCTAGTAAAGTTGTCACTAAAAATAATTTTTTTTGACATCTTTTGCATATGTCACTAAACATTAACAATTAGAGTTTTTTTTTTTTTTTTTTTGTTACGATTTTTATAAATTTTCCCTAAAACTTACAATTAGTGATGTTTTTCTGTAACAAAATTTTAAAATTGTCGCTAAAAGTTGAAAATTAGTGACTTTTTTTGTGAAGATTTTTTTAAACCGTCGCTAAAACTTCTAATTAGTGACATTTTTGTGCCAATTTTTAAATTATTGTTAAAAATTAACTATTACTAACTTTTTTTAAATAGTATTTGATAAAAAAAAATGCCATTACCTATTAAACAATAAATTTACTTATTAGTATCTTCACGTAAGTCCCCTAAAAAAAAAAAGAAGTGAAATATGAATAAATTATAAATACATTCACCTACATTTCACAAATCTATTTTTTCTTTTTCTCACCAAACTTACCATAAGCTCTTTGGGACCGGTGTAACTTCAGGTCTCTCGCGGACCGGAGTAACTTTACACCTCTTTTGAGCCGGAGTAACTTTTACACCTTTCTTGAGCCGGAGTGACTTCATGGTCATTTTACTCAGCCCTTTGCAATGTGGCCCATAACGGCTCATTACCCAGTTCGGCCCAATTTATAAGTATAAATTACCCTCTCCATAAAATAATAATTAATATATTAATAATTAGATTAAAATGCTGGCTAACATCTCTCCATAAACTTGAATTTAAAACCTCACTTACCTTGACACCTAAATGCCTTCTTTCATAATCATTTGAACAATTACCTAAGGTCAACTTATATTTTAAATTTGGTGAGCTTAGTTAATTATGAGAGTTCTTTTATCACCATTGTAAATCTTTTGAGCAATCATTCTCTTTATTTGAGTGAAATATTTTTCTGTGTGATTATCTGTTGATACAGGCTAATGAAGAAACACATAAGCCTCATTTGATAACAGACTTTTTAGTAATTTTTTAATTTTTTGGTTAAAATATAATGGAAAAAAATAATATATTTGGGATGAGTTTTGATTTTTTATGAAAAAATGTACAAAAAGTAGAGAGAAAATAGAATCTTTGATTTTTTAGTATAAGTTGTTAGCTTTTTGATTTTTTTTTTACCACTTTTTGACTAAAATCACCACTTGCCAAACGAGTCAAATAATTATTTTTCTATATTAGATTTACATATATTTATAATATTTTTTACTCTATATTCAAAACGATCAATTATATTAACGTGATTGAGTTTTTGAAATACTTTCTATACAACATTTACCACGTAGATCCTATGTCTTAAATTGTTGTCCCAACCCTCTCTCCCACCCCTCATGTATTGCCATCCGTTTCTCAAAACAAATTTTTGGAGAAAAATTTCAAAAATATATTTATTTGAAAATTTACAAAAAAATTAAATAAATAAAATTACTTTTCTTTTTATTACATATCAATCAATCACTTTTTCTCTCTCATTCTCAATTATTATTTATCTCACATTCATCTATTCAATTATAAAAAATATATATAAAATCAACTTTAAATCCAATAATATTTTCAAAATATATAACAAAACAAATTTTAAAATTTTCTGAACTCTCTTCAAAAAGTTATTTTTAAAATGATATCTCAAAACACAAATCAAACAAAGTCAAAGTCGTCCTGAACCCATCCCACCCCAAAACATTGCCATCAACCACCTATTCTCTTCCTCTTTCTTGGCTTTTTTTTTTTGTAAAATCTAATCTTTCACACCATCAAAAACCTACTGAAAACCAATTGAACTCTTCACAGTCCATCCGCGGCATACATCCACTTGGAATCTAGGGGTTGAACCAAGTTTGAGTTTTTTTTTTGGGTCGGATTCTGAAAGGAAGAAGTGTTAAACTGATTATATTTTATAAAAAAAAATAAGTTAGATCATATAAGAAATCAACAATGGTTTGTCTCTTGTTCTAATCGGATTGGATCATGCTATCGAAAATTCGAATAATTTTATGTATAGAACTTGTTGAGTAGTTTATCTTTGAAAAAAATTACGTTAATCGGATATCGATAATCAATCAATAATTTCACATTTATATCAACGGTAAATATGATTTTAAAAAAATTGTTGACAAAAATATTGATTGATCAAGTGGCTATCGATATCCGATTAACTTAATTTTTTACAGAGATAAAATATTCGATAAGTTCTACACATTGAACAGTTCGGATAATTAAGACGGACTCGAAATGGGCTCTAAATAAGTTGGATTGGACTGTCCAATTGAGCTGCTCAACTGGAGACAATCCAATCCCATAAATATAATAGTTGATTGATGGAAGAAAAATAATATACAAGTTTACTTTTTAAACTCATTTTGTAAATTTTAATGATGTATAAATAATATAATTAGTTAATGATTAGAGAAGATAAGAAAATATATATTATCTTTAATATCTTAATTGATTGTTATATTACTAAATTTAAAAATTAGATCTAATTTTTAGTTTTGAATTATAATGCTCTGGATGGAATTGTGTTTCATCTGTTTTTGTTTTTGTTTTTGTAATCATTATTTGGCATTATTCTTATGGTTGATCTGTTGCATATAAGCAAAATGGGACAGTGAAGGACTTTGATCACGTTGCCTTTGAATTTTTGCTTTAATTGACAAGAGAAGGAATGGAGCGGTTTATTCATTAGCGGTCGGCGACGGCGATGTTTTGTTTTTCAGGTTTTTTATTTTATTTTTTTTAATTTTTAAATTATGGACAGATGGCACTGGCAGCACATGAAAAGTGAGACAGAAAGTAAGGACAGCAACTTGGGACAGAGGATCCCAATCCATGCTAGTATGATCGAGAGAGCTCTTGAGACGAGGACAAAGAAAATCCGAAAAGAGTATATAAAAAGGAATGGCTTCCCTCCTCTCTGTGTTCGGACGAACTGGAAGATATTGTTAAATTTGTAAACATAGTAAGATTTTTTCACATTTGTGCCAGTAGGAGGAGATGTAAAAATTTACTAGATTCAGTTCATGTGAATGGGGTCAAAATTAAAGATCTAGTTGCAATCAAACATGAAGTTTGTAGGTTCTTTTCCAAGTTGTTTTTTGAAAATTGGGTGAACAGGCCTAAACTCGTAGGGGACTTTAAAACTATCATCAGGGTCAAGGTTGAAGAGGTATTAGAGGGCGAATTTTCTGAGAATGAAATTTGGCTAGCTGTCAAGGAGTGTGGAGGGAACAAAGTGCCTAGGCCAGATGGTTTCAATATGGCATGCATTCAAAAATGTTGGAAATTCATGAAGGAAGATTTTGTTCAATTTATTAAGGAGTTTTATTCTAATGGAAAACTGGTTAATGGCATTAATAACTCCTTCATTGCCCAGATTCCTAAATCAGAGAATCCATCTGACTTAGCAGATTACACGCCTATTAGCCTTATCAATTCAACTTACAAGGTGTTGGCCAATGTGCTTGCTAGAAGGTTAAAGCTGGTACTTCCTAAGATCATAGGTGAGGTTCAAACTGCCTTTGTGGGAGGTAGATTTATTCTTGATGGAGTCTTAATAGTTAATGAAGTGGTGGATGATTGGAGGAAATCTAAGAAAAAAGGTATCATTCTGAAACTTGACTTTCAAAAAGCCTACGATTTAGTCAATTGGGGATTTCTACTGTCTATGATGTTAAATTTTGGTTTTGGTGAGAAGTGGGTGAATTGGACTAAAACTTGTATCTCAACGACAAGATTATCTGTGTTGGTGAATGGTTCACCTACAGAGGAGATTTCACCTGGAAAAGGATTAAGGCAAGGGGATCCACTTTCACCATTTCTTTTTACCATTGTGGCAGATAGGGATGGCAATAAAAACCATACCCAATGGTTACCCATGGAGACCCTACCCGAAATACATGGGTTTCCCCTATTTTTTTATCCATCGGGTCAGTAGGGGATTTAATTTAACTCCCCATTGGGGAATGGGTCGAGGAATGGGTCGAGCTTATTTCTTCGTATGTTTCAACACAGCTAGGGTTTTCTCACTCTCTCTCACTCCCACTCTCACTCCAGATCAGAGTTCCGATAAGAGATGTATAGATAACACACTGGATGAGTTCCGATTAGAGAACACAGTGGATGGGGAGGGTTGTGAACAGTGGATGAGTTCTAGATTCTCTGTTCCAGCATCGAAAGCAACTAGAGATCAGAGTTCTCCAGCGATCTCATTGGCGCTTAACACAGTTCTCCAACGTGGTGAGCTCTCTCTCTCTCTCTCTCTCTCTCGTTCTCTCTTGTTCTTCGGTTATTTTTGCTTTGTTTTTGGTCTGATTGAGAAACCCATATGGGCAAATACCTAGTTGATGATTGATTTTTTGGGGTAATTTATTTTTGCATGTTTGTAGATGCACTTATGAACATGTGCTGATGAATTAGCTTGCATGATATCAAGAACATTGTGGGTTTTTCTTCCCTTTCCTCGGCAACCAAACAGGGACCTGGGGTTGACATCTTTGTGAACATTGTGGGTTGTTAGCAAAAGTCGATACGAAGGTATCCCCAAATTCCCCTCTTTCCCAATTCATATTAGTTGCTGAATTTGAGATCTTCAATGTTCAATTGAGAGTACTGTTACTGTTTTATTAGACATTTCACTGATTTAAAATCAAAGCTCTTCGTCATCATGTCTTCCTCTTTTCACTTTATATATATATGTTTATATATACATATAAAGACAATGCCAACCATCCAAATTATTTTAAAATTTTCTCAAGTTGCTTTACAATGGGTGTTGGTCCAGCAATAAACAACTTAATATAATGATCTTGCAAATGAATGTTTCTTCTTTTAGTTTGCTTCATTATCAAATAATGAATGTTACTCTGTATTAGTTTGATAGTTGGACCATTTCCAATATGGGAAGTGGAAGCAGGAAACAGAAACATGGCCTAAATTATTATGGAAAATGGGAGACGATTCGTGATATAGACGTTTCTTCATATTATGCTAGAGTTTCAAAAACGTACCCTGAATGATTTTCTAAGACTTTCCTTAAAATTTCATGGTTTGGAGAACTGGGGAAATGGGTTTTTGTAGGGATTTTAGGGGTTGGTGGTTTTTAATGTGGGTTTTTGGTCTTGTGAAGATCTAGCTGCAATCCCAACCAAAACTAATGAATTAACCAGTTGCAATTTAAGCAAGGGACATGGCAAGTGGTATGTGTTCCATGTGTTATAATAGAATGGTAGAATTGCTTACATTGATGTAGCTAGCATTGTTGAATTTGTAAAAACCAGGCTGCAAAGGCTTATATTCTTCTCTCTCTCTCAAAGCCACATGAAAAGGGAATTATCAAGTTTCGGTCAAAATCAAGATTTTTTTCTTTTTGGGTGATTATATTATATGAATAATGGAAAGGATTTCTTGCTCTACATGCTGAAATTTTTAATAGTTGTATGAAAAGAAAATACACCCATTTTAAGTTCTAGTAAAACTAAACTAGACCTGTATTGAACACTTGGTTAAGTAGTGTTTGGGTGGGTAATTTTTTGGGTTATGAGCTGAGTTATTGTGTGTTAAATGATCTATCTAAGAATAGGAAGGAGAAGAACTCCATATAAGTTTGGTTTCATAACCCTTAGGTAGTGTTTTGTTCATTAGAATGAATCGGAATGGAATGATCATTCTATCAAAATATTCATTCCTATGTTTTGTGTCTATGTTAATCAATTTTAGTTGAATTGAACTTGTTAATATAAATTGTTGGATGTTTGTTCCTTATATGGGTATGAAATCCATGTTCTAATCATTTGGTGTAACTCAATTTCCTAGAATTTGTTATTTCTTCTTCTCTTGTTTTTTCCTTTTTATGCAAAAATGTTGTTATGGAATATCAATATGATTGTGTGTGTTCTAATTTATGTTCTCTAGGATTTTTAAGCATTGATAATGTCGAAAGTTGGAGCAAACTCTTAAGCAAACTCCCAACTACTCGTTGATGGTTTACAACCATCAATATCGGTTGGGAGTGCGACCTCTCTACCATCTGTAGACACCCCATTTTTGACCGTCCTCAAGACTTGGACGTCACCGTTTGAACACTCGGTGATTATCCATGTTTGTGTTCGTTTGGAGTTCCCGGAGGTCTCGGCTCACGTGTCTTGCCTCAGGATCCCCGAACTCGACCGTTTAGTGTCTGGTTTTGCACCAAACACTTGCATCTTGCCTTGGAGAGGCAGAATGGGGCTTGTAGACCATCCCCACCAATCACCAGCAGTGGCTAGATGCCACCGGCTGGGTTTTTCTGCCCCCGGCAATATAGTTTGCCGGCCGGCACTCTTTGTTGCCGGTCAGCACTATTTGTTGCCGACCGGCACTCTTTTTGGCCAAGATGGCATTTTTGGCTGGCCGATTGCTGTTCATCTACTTTTGCAGATATTTTTAGACAGCTGTCTTACTTTTGCATCCCTCCATACACGTGTATGGAGGGATCTCCCTCTTGTAAAGCTTGTCTTGTAAGCTTTACAAGACATATAGAGAGAGGCTCTCTCTTGAGGCAAAAAGAGGAGAGGACTTGAGGAGAGAGTTAAGATATTTTGAGAGCAAAAACAGCCATTGTTAAGCTCTGGTTTTAGGGTTTGAGTTAGATACATTTTCTATCTCTTTTTCCCTCTCTTTTGTGCACTAGGTGTTTAGTGTCTTACTATTGCACACAAACACATAGTGTTTCACCTTCCTATAGCTACTGAGGTTCTAAAGGACTGGTTTTAGTGTTTTGGTGTTGGATTCAAGCCAAAGAGGGCCATTGGAGCACCATTGTTGAAGAAGTCTCCAAGGGTAACAATTTTGACTTTATATTCCCCATTTTTGCATTGATTTTCTACCTATCTTAGAGCTGTTTTCGTGCTTATTGTATAACACAAAAAAGTTCTGTTTTTTAGTCCTCTTGATTGTTTATTAAGAGTGTTTTGTGGTTTTTATTGGACAGCAACTCCTAAAAGAGTAGAAAAATTTGAAGAAACAACTCGTCAAGTGAAAAATTTGAATATTAAAAAGATGGGACTTGATTGTGCTACTAGGTGGAATTCAACATATTTGATGCTTCAAACTGCTTTATTATATAAGGATGTATTTTACCGTTTGAAATATAAAGAGACCCAATATACAACATTGCCAAGTGAGGAGGAGTGGGAGTTCGCTAGAGAAATTTGTGGGAGATTTAAAATATTTTATAAAACAACTGAATTGTTTTCTGGAACTAAATATCCCGCAGCTAATGTTGCTTTTCCAAATTTATGTGAGATTAGGATAACTATCTCCCAATGGCTCCCCTGTTCAATTGAGGTTGTTAGATCAATGGCATCAAAAATGTTGGGAAAGTTTGACAAATATTAGGTTATTATACATGGTCTTATAGGGGTTGTTGTTGTCCTTGATCTTAGGTACAAACTTAGTGTGTTGGAGTTTCATTTTGATAAACTTTATGGAGATACAGCTGAGGAGGAAATTGTGAAGATTCGCCAACTTTGTTATGATTTGTTGCAAGAGTATCAAAGAAAACTTAGTTTGGGAACTGATGCTAATGTTGAATCTGCTACAAGTTCAAATTTTGGGGATTCAGAGGTAGTTTCAGATTATGATTTGTTTATTAGTAGAAAGCGAAGAAAAAAAGTCAACAATGTAACATCAGAGTTGGACCATTATTTAGAAGAGGATGTTGTGACAAGAACTCCCAATTTTGATGTGTTGACTTGGTGGAAATCAAATGCATCGAAGTATCCAACCTTACAGGCAATAGCTAGGGATTTTTTAGCTATTCTGGTATCTACTGTTGCTTCTGAGTCTGCATTTAGCACTAGTGGTAGGTTGGTGAGCCCGTATCGAAGTAGACTTCATCTAGATACTTTGGAAGCATTAATGTGTGCACAGAGTTGGTTATGGGCTATAGAGATGCAAGGTACTTGAATAAATCAACATATATTTATTTTTAAAATAAATATATTTTCATTGAATAGTCTCAATACTTAATTTTTTTCTTCTTATTTTTCAGGAAATTCAACATTAGAATCAGTTGGTTACGCCACTATATATGATGATATGGATGTGAATCAGAGTTGATCTTTCTTTTGCATTGGGTATGCCTTTAGTACATTGATTTTATTCTTATTTGTGAATTTGTTTCCCTTTGGTAGCGTTGAGGTAATATTAATTCAATATTTATGCGTAGGATTGTAGCTGTTGTGCTCAAAAGAAGTTGATTTTGTAACACACAAAATTCCGAGGTTTTGCTGTTCATTTTAATTGATGCACCTTGTCCTTTTATAATTCAAATTTATTTGTTCCCCTTAACTTGTAGCTGTACTAGGAGAATCTCTTGCACTATGAGCATTATTTTATCTATTTTTGGTTTTTATAATTCTGGGTTTGTTGAACATCAAGTCCCATATCAAGTCCCCCAGCCCAATAGATCTAGGGGGCCAATTATTGAAGAATTGAACTCTAATGAGGAAAAAGAACAAGATGAGGAGAAGAAAGGTAATCCCAGAAAGCATGGTAGATTGAGCAAAGAACCTTATGCTGTTGAATAATAGTTTGCATTTGCCAATTTTTTTGGGCATTTTTTAAAATTGCATGTTGTTATACTTTGCATCCTATGTATTTTGTTTTTAACCATTGTTCAACTTTTTAATTCTCTGGTTTCTTTTCCTCTTTTTTTTCTCTTTTCTTTTTGTGTGTGTGTGTGTGTGTGTATGTGTGTGATAGGTACAGGAAAAAGCACAAGAGAGTGAACATTGGAGCAGTGAAGCATTGGTGCAGACAGATCTTGATAGGGCTTACGCACAGATTAGTCTTGATGAAATGCTTCTGTTGCTGGAGTGTTGCTACTACTGTTGATGAACACACTATGCGATTGATAATCATTGTATTTAATGTGTCAAAACCAAAGACAAACAATTAACCTATATCCTCAAAGCTTAAAAACAACATATAATCAACTCGGGATTTTTCAATGATTATGTGATATTGTAGTGTTGATTAGCAGTTACTTTTGAGTTATATACATATTGAACTAAAGGAAATGTTGTGATGGCCACATTTGAACACTTGCATGGGAAACAGATGAGGTAATGTTGACTGATACCAAGTTTTGAAGACACCAAGTGAGACCATTGTAATATTTTTTCCGGACCCAGTGATTCCTTGATCCCCATTTTGTGCACATTCTGTCGGATGTAATTTTGTTCAACCCATTGTGAGATATAATCCAAGGATAATTGATATTTATTGACTCGGATTTTGTTCAACCCATATTTTATTTTCAATTACTAAAACTTATTTGATTGTCTTAAAATTATATATTTGATTATTTTAAAACAAAATTTTTAATTAATTAATTAATGTTTATTTGATTTTGTTGGTGAACCAAATAAAATAAAATAAGATTGAATGTATATTTAGCTTTTGTTGTGAACCTTAAAAAAAAAAAAAGAAAGAAAGAAAGAAAGAAAGATTGAATGTATATTTAGCTTTTGTTGTTTAAAAAAATAAAGAAAAAAGTTTGAATATATATTTAGCTTTTGTTGTGAACTTCAAAAAAAAATAAAAAAATAAAAAAATTGGTTGTTAACATTAAATAAATAAATAAATAATGGGGGTCAAGGTGGGTTGGGAAAATCCAAACCCATTAGGAGATGGGGAGGGTGGTACCCATGGAGAATGGGGAATGGGGAATAGGGGAAATTTATTATGGGGGAATGGGGATAGGGAATTAATATCCACCCCATTAACCCCATTGCCATCCCTAGTGGTAGAGGGACTGAACTTGTTGTTATCAAGAGCTAAAGAAAAGGGCCTAATTGAAAGGGCAGTGGTAGGCAGCCAAGAGGTTAGTATTTCTCACATTCAATTTGCCGATGATACAATCATTCTTTACAAGGCTGATGAAGAGGAGATTCTCTCAATTAAAAGGATCTTAAGATGTTTTGAAATATTGTCAGGCTTAAAAATTAATTTTCATAAGAGTGTTGTCTGTGGGATTGGGGCAGAGGATGAGATTGTTCAGTATTTTGCCTCTTTGCTCAACTATGGTTGGCAAAAACCTCCATTTAAATATTTGGGCCTACCTTTGGGAGCAAATCCTAGGAGGAAGAAGACATGGCAGCCTATTGTGGATAAGGTGAGAAGGAAACTATTATCATGGAAAAGGAAACGGTTATTTTTTGCTGGAAGATTGACTCTCATTAAGTCAATTTTGTCTAGCTTGCCTTTATGCTACTTATCTATTTTCAGAATGCCAAAGGGAGTGGTTAAGAGTATTGAAAGGTTGCAGGCTGCATTTTTATGGGGGGGCTCTGATTTGAAGAGAAAAGTTCACCTAGTGAGATGGAATGAAGTCACCAAAACTAAAGAGCAATGAGGCTTGGGTGTAGGTAGAATCAAAGATATGAATGAGAGTTTGTTATTAAAATGGTGGTGGAGATATGGTTCTGAGAATGGGTCGAGAGTGGTGTGCAGTAAATATGGTCATAAAGGTGGGGTTGGAGTCCGTGTGTGGTGATCTCCAGATTTGTGTCAATAGTATGGCAAGATATTCTATCCTTAGTGTTGGAAAATCATGATTTATAATCATTTTATGTTAATAATTCAAAATTTGTGATTGGTAATGGAGAGAGGATCCAGTTTTGGTGGGATACATGGTTACTAAATGAAAATTTAAATGATGTATCTCCTAGGCTTTTCAGTTTATTTGAGATTAAAGATGGTTCCTTAAAGCTATTGGTCCAAAACAGAGAAGCAGCAGGGGAATGGAATTTCTTATTCAGAAGACCTTTAAGAGCTTGGGAAGAGGAGGATGTCAGAAGACTTATAGAGGTGCTAAATGTTGTTCCAAATTTGCGGGTAAGTGCAGATGACCAGATTATGTGGACTGCATATTCGTCTAGCTCTTTCTCTGTTTCATCTGCTCGAAAAAGGTGTGAGGTTTCTCATAGACCATCTATCCGTATTACTAAATTGTTATGGGGTAATGGCTCACCTCCAAAGGTTAAGTTCTTTGGTTGGTTGGCTTGGAAGGGTAAATTGAAAACAACAGCATGCCTTCAAAGGTTGGAGTTCTGGATTCTAGCGTTAACAATCTGTGTCTATTTTGTAGGGAGGAAGTGGAATCTCTTAATCATATTCTTTTATTCTGTCCTTTGGTTTGGAGGTTGTGGTCTGAAATTCTGGACTGGTGGAATTTATCTTGGGTTGCACTTGGGTCTATTGGAGGCCTTTTGGAGTGGTGGTCTGGTAAGAGGTTCAATAGATTTGAAAGGAGGTTATGGCAGTCTATTCCTTTCACTTTAATGTGGTCTATTTGGAAAAGCATAAATGAGTGTGTGTTCCAAGGAGTTCATCCAAATTTCAAGGGACTCGGGGAGATTATTAAAATTAGAAGTGCTTTTTGGTTGAAATATGGCACTGCAAGTGTGCCTTATTCGGTCCCGGATGTGGTCTTCAATCTGCAAGAATTGCGATTTTGTTCAAGAAAATAGAGTTAGTGCAGAGATCTGGGTTGCTATTTGGGTTGTGAAGGTGGGTTGTAGGATGTGGTATCTGGTTTATCTTATCTGATTGGTTTGGAGTCTTAGTGGGTGATTTGGTGTTTTGTATGATTGCGGGTGTTCTTGGTGCTATCTGTTATTGTCGTCTTGCTTTTGGTTATGTTGGTTTCTCATCAACATTTTGTCTTGAGTTTCATTTGATTAGGTGTCTTTCTTAGTGCCAACCTAGTTGCGATTAGGATGGATGCATGGTAAATGTTTCTCTTGGTCTTTTCTTTATTGATGTCTGCTCATATCTAATATATGTTTGTCATTATCAATAAAGTTCTTTCTTTGCCGATCAAAAAAAAAAAAAAAAAGAAAGCTCTAGTAAAATTATTGCTAAAAATAATTTTGTGACATCTTTTGTATATGTTACTAAAAATTAACAATTATAAATTTTTTTTGTCACAATTTTTATAAATTGTCGCTAAAACTTACAATTAGTGATGTTTTTCTGTAACAAAAATTTCAAATTGTTGTTGAAATTTGAAAATTAGTGACTTTTTTTTGACGATTTTTTTAAACTGTCGCTAAAACTTCTAATTAGTGACATTTTTTGCGCCAATTTTTAAATTATTGTTAAAAATTAATAATTACTAACTTATTTTTAATAGTAAAAAAAATGCCATTACTTATTAAACAATAAATTTACCTATTAGGATCTTCACATAAGTCCCCTAAAAAAAAAAAAGAGTGAAATGTGAATAAATTATAAATACATTCACCTACATTTCACAAATCTATTTTTTTCCAAATTCTTATCCAAATTTATACTTCATAAACAAGTTAAAAGGTGGAAGTTTATGTTGTATAAATAGTGTAAATCCAACCAATTAAATAGATTCATATTAAACAACCACTTTAAATTTCAGAACAAGAACAAGCTAGGATTTACAGAAATTTATAATAAAATAAAACTTGTAAAAGGAAGCAAACCGAAGCCTGCGTAATACCACAGTTTCCTTAAAACAGATTCACCGCCTCCCGATAAATGCTGAAGGTACGTCAGCGTCTGTCTCCCAGGATACGACAGTGGAAACTAGTTAATGTAGAAGCACCTTCTGAATAGCTTCGACGAACTTGATAATGATTGTACTCTCTCTAACAAGAACCAAAGAAGGGACTAGCAAAAGAAGATAGGAAATTTTTCTTTGGTATAAAAAACATCTCCAAATTTTATTTTTTTTTAATCTCAAAACATCTCCATTTTTCATCAAAAATCTCTCTTCAACTCTTCGTCTAAGTTGAAGGGGAAATGCCTTTTTTTATACTTATAGGGAATTGGTCTTAGCTATGAAGGCTACCATAAAACCTAGTATCAATGGCCATCAACTCTAACCTTTAGGGCTAAAGTTACAAATGTGCAAAACTCCCATGTGCATAATGATCATTAACTCTATCATCAAAAGATGAGAGTTACAAAGATTGAATAAATATATATATATATATATATAATGCTATTTAAATAATCCAACCATATGGGTCACAAAATGGATACAGGTATTGGGTCACAACCCGATCCACACCTAGTCCGAAACATATGCATAAGATTAAGCCCAGTTCAGCATAGCACATAGCCCATGCCCAAGACTAAGTCCAACATATGCACATGCACAAGCCTAGGCCAGTCCAGACCAAGACTAAAACTAAGTCCAAGTCTAAGCCTAGGCCCAAGCCCAACTTCTATTGATGTCCATTT